CTCTCTCTCATTGTAGAAATAGGTAAAACATAGGCCCCCCAAAAAACACCATATTTCGACCGTAACCTACGATCATCTCTAGAGGGAGTTACGGTTGAAATATCCAGTGATGTTGTTTGACTGTGTTTTAATTTCTCTTACAGTGTGATTTCAGTGTTATTATTTGTGTGGTATATGCATATATTTGGGTTTATTGTGTGTGTATGATAATGGGTAAGGTTGTAGTTCCGTCACCAATAATGATACAGATCAGTGTTTCTTTATTAACTGATCTACAACCTGATTAAAACATCTGGGTCGTTGTTCTTATTTCACGTTTCGTTATTTATATCCTTCCGGGAATTAGTGGTAATGGTGATTAACACGGAAGCCTCAGCTCTTGCTGCTGGGCCAGTTTAACAACTGTTGTTGTTGTTGTCATTAAATTATAAGCTATTTTGTTCTAAATTCAGAAACAAGAGTAAAGGTCCAGGCACAGATACATGTCCGGTTACAGGTACAGCTGCAAATACACTTACAAGGTAAATTACAAAATTAAGCAAAACACTGATGGAAAGGTACAGGTTCAAGTACATGCATAAGGAAAGGTACAGGTTCAAGTACAGTCCCGGACCGAAGTTCATGATAGTCAAGCTGGAGGGTGTAAATTCCGCCTCCACTGTTACTGGACGACGCGTTGCTGTCCAGCCATCGTCCCCAATACACAAACAAGCATCCAAGCAGTTCAATATTAGAGCTCTGATATTTCCATTTCTCAAGAAAGACTGAAAAAGGATGTCATTGTTTTGTTTAATAAATTCACGAAACAATTTACCCAAACAAGTTTTACATTATTTGACATAATGGGTTAGATCATTATTAGATAATCATTCATAATCTTTAAAATACAGAAGACACAGTGGAGAGAATTTTACATAGTCAGATATCATGAAAAAATGGGCCATGTTTGTCTGGTAGCTGGGGGTTCGCAACAGTGTAAGAATCCTTCAAACTGTATTTTCCCTCAGGTGGTAATCAGTATACTAAACATGAATGCGAGGGATGATATGGTTCGTATGAGAATGCCTTATCACCCTCCGTTATAATGTACTTATCATAGGGTCTACTGTATGTAATTTTGACTTGATCCCAACAATGGATAACATAATGGGAGTATGGCTGACATACTGTATGAGCGACACGATTAAGATAAAAGTGTATCACAACTAGAAGTAGATCACAACACCATTGATTTGGGTTGGGTGGAAACATAAGGTTAAAGCAGCATGACTTTATTTTATTATTAGTTATATAGATAACCATAAGTGTTGCCTAGCTAATGTTATATAGACTCAATATCTAAGTAAATATTTACAGTTGCAAAGGGTAAAACAATGATTCAAACAATCTATTCATACGATTCTTAAAATTATGCTTAATAGATGTTGTCACAAAAATTAATTCAGCAGCCAGTCCAGCCACCCTGCTTTTCAACGACTGCCTGTAGCCTGCCCTGCTTGGATGCCACAAGGTCTCACCAGCTTCGGTCTACCCCTGCAGTATTCCCACTGTTAGTGTGCACCATAATGTCAAAAAATTTGTAACTTTACTGGATAAATTGTTTCGGAATTTATTTAAGAATCATAATTAACTTAGATATAACAATGTTCTGGCACTTAGTTGATAACTAATTTGGTAAATAATTTGGCGGGGTGCCAATTTCGCACCTCTAAACAATGTGAATCTTTCTTCTTTTGTTTTGACAGAAATAGTAAATATATTTTTTGTTGCTACATTGTAGCATCAACAATTAAAATTAATTACTGAGTCAGCTACACTAAACTATTACTACAACGCAAGTTTACTTCTTTAGACATTAAGTAAAATCTCTAATATGCTAAGAACTTTAGTTTTATCTCGTCTCAAACTGCTCAACAAATAGATTTAGTTTTCTTTTGTAATATAGTATACCAAGTGTTTATTTCCATTGGATTATCTATTAGTTCCATGTACAGTATATTTGATACATGTTGTTCATTTTGTAGAATTGTATTGATTAAAATGAAAATAAATGTAATTGGATAGAATTTTGTCATACCTCGAAATTTTGTTTAGCGATCTGTGAAGATTCAGACACGAATATGGTAAACTTTGCTTTTTCATGGTTGGCATCACTGACAACGACCCACCGTCCAGTAAGGATGGGGCTGGCTTTATCCAGGACTGTACATTCAGCAAAATCTCATATTTGTACCTTTTCGGTGTCATTCAATATTATGAGACATCGGACCAAAACTTCTGACAAACGTCAGGTGCAATTCATTGCTACACTGTGTTCAACAGCATTGTCAATAAATTTGATCTATCCGTAACTTACGGTTAATCCTAATTAACTCCATTTCATATCATGTGGTATATATATATATATATATATATATATATATATATATATATATATATATATATATATATATATATATATATATATATATATATATATATTATATATATATATATTTTTTTTTTTTAATACTCCTCACGCATGCAATGTGAACACTTCTAAATACCAAAGATGCGTCATATGTCGGGGTGAGGATGTTTCTGAGGAAATAATAAGACAAAAGCATTGTATGTTTTGTTTGTGTATGGACCTTTCTAACAGTGGTGGTTCCTGGATGTTATACAGCGATGATGATGATGTCAGGCGCTATGAGTACAATAAAGTAATTCGCTTCAACCATAACATTGGTCCTACTGCGTAATAACTAATTTTTATGTCAAATTTACTGTACATTGATACCAGTGTTTTAGTAACAAAAATGACCCACTTCCTCACCTGGGCAACATCTACAGTACCGTACACCCTCCAGCTGCTGCGGCCTGGGGCATGGGACCATTACTGTACTTACTGACCTGGGTCATGGAACTATCACCAGCTGACCAGATTTAAGAATTGCTTGGATTTGATTTCAGAGCACCAGATGTCACAGCAATAACGCGAAGTCTAATCCTAACCAGCAATAAGAACAGCAAAGTCTTTAGTGTCATCATTGGAAATCCCAGCTTTGATACAGCCCATGACTATAAATTTTACGTCAACAAACTAACAAAGGATGAAATACAAAACTCCCAGCATGACTCATAGTAGTAATGGTGTCTGAATTGTAGGTTTTTGTACAGGTTAACTAAAGTGCAAAACATCTTAGCCAACTCAACAACTCCTCAGTGCAATTATGAAACATCTTAACCTACCCTCAACCTCCCTTAATCAAGTACAAAGGCCTTTTATTCACCCCAAGATCCTCGCATACTAATACCTAGTAGGTAGGTAGTAGGTAGCTATCAAACAGGGAGGTACTACCGCCTGGGAAGATATTGGAAGCATAATGTATTGTCTAATGGTAGACCCTGCTGCCATATGGCATCACAAAAATTGTGACCAAGTCCCAGGTTGCTGATCTGAATTTTTGCCTCATTTACACACAATTGCAGGGTCTCAATTGCTTCTCTTACTATTGACAACACAACACACATATATTGTTTTTCACTTTTGATTTTTTTCATTTTGTAATTTTTTATGGTTCTTTATTATTATTTTTTATTTTTATTATTATTACAGTGTTGTAATTGTTATTATTATTATAATTAATATTTGTTTTTAAATTTTGTATTAATTATAAATTTACTAAGAATTATTATTGGTATTATTTTGTTATTATATATTAGTATTACATTTTGTCCCCCCAGGCCCCGACGTGGGTCAGTGACCTGTATCCGGGTGGGCTAATCCACGTAAAAAAAAATATATATATAAAACTCTTGATTTATTGTTTAATTTTTGTATTAATCTATGGTTATTATTTTTATTATTATTATTATTATTATTATTATTATTATTATTATTATTATATTATTATTATTTTATTATTATTATTATTATTATTATTATTATTATTATTATTATTATTATTATTATTATTTTATTATTATTATATTATGTTATTAGTATTATTATTATTTTATTATCATTATTATTAATATTTGATTATTAATATTTTATTATTATTATTATTATTATTATTATTATTATTATTATTATTTTATTATTATTATTTTATTATTATTATTATTATTATTATTATTATTATTATATTATGTTATTAGTATTATTATTATTTTATTATTATTATTAATATTTGATTATTAATATTTTATTATTATTATTATTATTTGTATTATTAATATTGATATTATTATTTTACTATTATTATCATTACTATTATTATTACTATGATTCTTATTATTATTATTATTATTATTATTAATATTTTAATTATTATTATTTTATTAGTAGTAGTAGAAGTAGTAGTATTTGTATTTTATTATTATCATTATTTTATTATTATTATTTTATTGATATTATCATTTATTATTATTATTATTATTATTATTATTTTAATTATTATTTTATTAGTAGTAGTAGAAGTAGTAGTATTTGTATTTTATTATTATTATTTATTGATATTATCATTCTATTATTATTATTATTATTATTATTATTATCATTATTTTTTTTTTATTATTATCATTATTATATTTTCGCCCCCAAGCCATGATGTGGGTCAGTGACCTGTGCCCGGGTGGGCTAATCCCAGTAAAAAAAAAAAACCTAAAATCCATTAACCTCGGCCACAATACATCTACAGCAGTTAATAACACGAAAGAAAATCTCCAAAACTAAAAAAAAAAAAATGTCATCAGCCAAAATAGGCAGTCAGAGAACCTGCAGGTGAGGGCGAGCCATCAGCAGCCTCCGAGAAAAAAAAATGCGAGGTTCACTGACACTCACCACCTTGACACCATAGGAAATCTCTGCACTGGAAACTTTCACCTGTGTTGATCACGGCCGACACGAAAATTAGTTTAACTTATCTGTTGATCAACTTGTCTTTTAATTTTATATTTTCTGGGTTTTAAGGTTTCATATCACCCTACACATAATATATCCCTCATGCCTCCAGTGTATAGGTAAAGGAGCCGTGGTGGTGCGTTGACCTGCGGGAGCGAAGGACCTCGAGGGGCCGTAATGCTGGGAGAGGAAAGCGGGTTGCGACACCAGTCAGCCCCGGGCCAACACTAACAATACTTCTTGAACGACCGCATCACAATCCAGTTCTGCGCTCCACCCACTACGACTCACTAGTGATTTAAAAAATATATATATATACTAAATTAAGTCACTGTCAACTCAGCACCATTACTTTCAACCTCTTCACCTGCTTTCTTTTTTACTCATTCCAAGCACTGCTACAACTTTTTTGAGAAAGTAAAAAGCTTGATAATTGGTCTTAGCAGCGTGAGTATTACTCAACAAAATTCTTCACACATTCTACTTCAAATTACTTTGAATACATTAATATTACATGCTGATAGTTTTGTCAAATTGTCAAGTTTTTCTTTCTGATATCTTTTACAATATATCCACAAAACGTTATCTATACAGTATCTCAAATAATCACTTTGCGAAAAATAGTGTAACACGTAATATATAACAGAGAATTTGTATAACACGACATGTAAACGATCTACCTCACAGGTTCACCAAATATTAAATAACAGATTAAAAAAATGGGCATGGAGTTCTTAGCCTGTGGTCCATGGACCAAATTCCAGATGGTCCACGGAAAGGCAACAATAATTTAAAATATGCTTAGCTCGGGTAGCATCGTGTTCAGGGTTGTATCCGCCTTCTTGTTTACCAGCAAGTCAGGTCAGTGAATACCTCTCATCTCCTCCCTCATCCTGTTGTACACGCCACTGTAATATTTGAACCTTGGCATGTTGTTATCATTAACTAAGTGACAGTTAAATCTGAAGGACAACGTCACATGATGGCTGTTGCCGACAGGGGCAACCATACCCTCCGCGTTAGTTATGCTGAGGTCCAGTGGTTTAGGAGTTTGTTCCCTCAATGAAAGGACATTATATGATGCTAGTAAATATACAAATGTTTCTAGAGAAATGAAAAGATTACAGTTGGATATTCTGGGATTAAGTGAAGTAAGATGGACAGGTTCAAATAGCATTAGTAGTGAAGAGTCTTGCTTCATATATTCAAGGGGTGAAAAGCATGAGAGAGGTGTTGGTATTCTTGTAAACCAGAAGTTGAGCAATAGTGGAAATGGATAGTGGATAGTGTCAGATGGAGCTTTGTTAGTCAAGTTTAATGCTAAATCCATGGACTTGGTAATAATATGGGTATATGCACCAACAAAATTAAAGATGGTGAGGAGTAATATTTAAAGAAAGCAAAACACAACGTAAAGATTACTGAATGTCTCATTACTTTATTATGGGTGATTTTAACGCAAAAGTTGGGAAAGGGAAAGTAGCACCAGAAGTAGGATCATATGGGTTGGGTAATAGAAATGAGAGAGGAGAAATATTAATTGATATTTTAAAAGAAAACTAGTTGATTATTGTAAATCATGGCTTGAGCAACGCTCAAGACATCACTATACATGGGTCTCACAGCAAGACAATGTAAACAAAATAGTCAGGAAACAATTAAAATGTATTTTAATTCAGGAAAGATTCAGAAATTCAATAACCGAAACCAAGACCTATCCTGGAGCAGATTGTGGGTCATACCACGTCCCATTAATGAGTTTGGTGAGGCTAAGACTTCAAAATTAAAAAAAAAAAAAACTAAGGACAAAATCCAATGGGAAGCTCAAAATAGGGTCAGGGATAGAATATTAAATGGAAACCGAAAATAGATTTTCAGTATTACTTGAGGGTGACTTTGATGGACCAGGACAACAATTTAATAATTACAAAAAAAAATAATGTTAGAGACTGGGGAAAACTTATAGGAAATAGGTAGAACGAGGCTAAAAGTAAGTGGATGACAAATTAAATTTTAAGGAAAATGGATAGACGGAGAAATATGAGAAAACGAAGGGAATGCAGACAGTCCAAGAATGATGATCTAGAAAGGAAATGCAAGGAGACTGAAGATATTGACAGAAGCCATAATTATAGAGAAATGTACAGAAAGATTAAACAAATGAGCCAGAAAAAAATGGGGTGGGACTACTAAAAGCAAAGACAAGATCCTGCTTGAAGCATAAGATATAAAAAAGAGATGGGCAGAGTATGTAGAAGAACAATACAATGATAAGGAGGTAAGAAACATAAAAGGAAATAAAGATCGAACTACCAATTCTGGAAACAGAAGTTGAGGCAGCTGTGAGCAAAATGAAAAATGATAAAATTTGTGGGGTAGTTCAGCTTCCAGCAGAATTTCTAAAACAATTGGGCAGGAATGGGATAACATGTTTGACTAAAATACTTGTATGTAAGTCTATATACTTCAAAGAAGACCTTCCCAGTGATTTCAAAAAACTTAATATTTGTAGTACGTACCTGTATTACCTAAAGTGCCAGGAGCCGTAGAGTGCACCCAGTTTAGAACAATTAGCTTAATAAGTTATGCCTGTAAAGTTTTATTAAACATTGTAACGATTTTGAATTGATTTTACATAAATTTATTCTAAAAACTTAATTTTTATTGTTCTAAAATGTATTTTATTATGTGACGCAAAATGGTGTAGTAGAAATAGTTAATTATCCCTCGGATCTGAAAGAGCATGGACTGTCTAGGTTTTGTAAACAAATGTTATCATTGATTGTTAAATTATCTGAAGTATTGTATGGAGAAGATTGACGATTGATGTACATTTTGAAATGTGTAGCGAGTCCTGCAATGTTGTGGCTCAATGTGAATTGATTAAAGTAAAGTTATTCTCTTGTCAAAACTTTGTATGTTAGTGTAATACACATGTAATTTTTCCAGTAAATAAGTAACGTTATCCTTTTAATTATTAATTGCAAGATAGCTTAATAATTGTAGATCAGGATGGTATAACTTAATACCTATAAATAGTTCAAATTACTCCATAAATTGTGAGATACTTAGAGTAAGTTTGGGGAAAAGTTGTAGTGTTGTAGTGAGTGTACAAGGGATAGTCTTGTTGGCTTAAGATGTCCAGATGTGTGAGTTATTATAATTGTAAACAATTTAGGAAGAGTTTTTTAAGAGTTATAAACATTGAAATAAGTTGTCGAAAATTATATTGAGAAGAATTGTTAGTAAAATATTTAACGTAAGTAAACTGAAACAGCATAAATTACATTTATTGGCGAGCTTGAATTATTTAACAGGAAATGAACACCAGTCTTTAGGGGATAGGCTGAAAGCAGTCATTTTTATATCAGATCTGGGAAAGGTGACGTTGTAGATCTCCCTCTGATGCTCTCTATAAATAAGTGTTAAACTATCACAAGAGATGGGGTTTATGTGTACAGGAGTTTATATAAGTGGACCAGTTGTAACTTTGCTGCTAGATTTAACTTGGAGCTGTTTAAGACTGTAGCGGTTTAATGATTGATGCTGTGTATTTATCCAAGAGGTTTCCAGGTATTTTTTTAACATATCGGTGGAAGGACACTGGATGATGCAACTTGGAACAAGGACTTATATTTCAGCTTAGTTTGAAATTAGTATGATAATCCATAGAAAGGTATAATTTCACTTGAGAAGTGGAAAAATTATAATTTAAACCTTTTATAATTTATGTGAACAAGTGAATGCCGAGTGAGAAGTTATCACTAGATTTATCTTTTGATTTGTAGTAAATAATTGAATGTGTATATCTAATGAGAAATTATCACTAGTGATGTATCAATAATTATGTCTATGTTCAATCTGAGTTTTCATTTAATCCCATCTTTACAAGTAAGGAAATTATTTTCATAACTTTGTTTTTTTTATTCAGATAAGATTAACTATAGATTTAACCCTTTGTCGTGGTAGTGTTTTCAAAATTAACCAATTGCCTACTGCTCAAATCATTACCTGCAATTACCTTGTCTGAATAATACAAAACAAAGTGGTAATAATCAAAAGATCAAATAAATATTTATAAGACAGTACTGAAAACTGCTGCTGTGATCTGGTCACACAGGTAGTAACGTGTGGTGTGATTTCTTAGTAATGATATACTGGTAACACCTGGTGTCATATTAAGGTCACACAAGTAATAACAGTAATATTTTGGTGTCTGGTGTGCATATAAAAAACGCATCTGACACACATGGTGTCAGTGGTGTGGATATTCGAATGACATCCGATGTAACATAGTATATTGTAAGTGGAATAAAATTTTGAAAAGTGAGTGAGTTACCTGAAGATCAAAATGTAATTAGAAAGGGAAAAGAAACTAGTGAAGCTATCTACTGTATATTTGCTTTGAGACATTTGAGTGAAAGAGCTTTAGAGGTATTAATGAAGAAGATATTAGAATTTTAAAATATATTTACTTACAACCGGAGGCTGCAGTGTTAGTAAATAATGAACTTATTAATTGGTAAGTTAGACAGGTAGTAAGACAAGGCTGAGTTCTATCTCCAACATTGTATAATATATATTCAGAATTCTTAATGAGAGATGTTATAGGTGATAATGAAGGACTAAAAGTTAATGGTAATGTAATATCATATGTACGTTTTGCAGATGATACTGCTCTTATCACAGATAGTGACGAGGCATTAAAAAAAAACTCGTTGATAGATTATTGGAAAAGGATGAAAAAATTATTTAAGACCTAATGCTGTAAAGACTAAAGTAATGGCTATTTCCTAATTGGAAATAAATCCTAAAATAAAAATTGTGGCAGGCAACAGGGAACGTAAACAAGTGGAAATTTTTTTGCATTTGGCAAGTAACATTAGCTGTGGTGGTAAATGTGTGGAAGAAATCAAAACTAGAATAGGGCAAGTAAAAACAGCATTTAATAATCTAAAAGACATAGTGAAAATGGACATTAACTTCAATTTGAGAAAACAGGCTGCTAAAGGCATTATATGGCAAGGACTGATTGATGTATGGGTCAGAAGCGTGGACACTTTCATCAGCCACCAGAAAGAGGTTCGACGCCTTTGAAATGTGGTGTTACAGACGAATGCTAAGAATAAGCTACACTGAGGAAAACAATTGAGCAAGTACTAAGATTTGCAAAAACTTCAAGAGAAATGCTCGAAATATACAGAAAAATAAAAGTGAGATACTTTGGTCATATACAGTAATTATGGATGAGGTGAAAATAACAGAAATATTAATTGGCAAAGTTGAGGGTAGGAGGGCCAGGGGAAGGTAGAGACTTGGATGGATGAATGAAATTAAAAACTGTGTCCCAAGAGAGATACAAAGACTTGGAGGATTGGTAAAAACAGCCCAAGAACGTTTAGAGTGAAGGACGGTGGGCGCCAACCCTCAGATATAAGAACGATACTCTGATTGATTAATTGATTGATTGATTGATTGATTGATTGAGAGTCGGATCTTTAGCATGTTAGAATAGAAAATTGTCTCTCGGGAATTTCTACAAAAAAAGAGTAGCAGGATTATTAAGGTCATTTGGTGTGGTTTCATTTCTTCAGTCGATGTTGCCAGATTAAGTCCGTCTTGACAAAGTGGTGGCTATGTTGAGTACCGTTGCGTTGACACTCTTCAACGCTTCTCGTCGTATAGTTAACACAAACATTACTCCCTTTACCTTTCCTCTTGTCTTGTCAGTTCGAACACTCATTTTCTAGTTCAGTTTTACGTTTAATTACAGAGCAGACAATACGGTATCCCTCAATCACGTTCACAGATCATCAACTTGATCAAGTATAACCTCATAGCTCTTAATATTGACATGTTCGATCAAAGTGCTTCCCTTCCAAGTTTGAGCACAAACCACAGCAAGTATAAATATGCTGGCCAATTGTTATCCGAAAAAGAACGGAGAAAACAAAAAAATAAAAAAAAGCACATTCTCTCCTCACTGACAGCTAACGTGCAAATGTGAAAATATTTAAGAGATCATTTTATTTTTCAATTTACTCGCTTCATCATAATGTTTGAGAATTCAGGACAAAATTCACTAGAAATCGAGTCGTAATTTTTATTAGGGTTGACCTTCCTTCTACACTGTAATACTGTTCCCACGAAGAACGCTTGTTAATTGAATAATGGTTGTCATCGCAATAATAATAATAATAATGATAATAATAATGATCATACATGAATAAAAAATACCCGTAAATCAACAGTAAACTATACCATACATCACCTGTTAAAAGTTTGTGACATTTAAATGTAAGAATATGTAATATACTGTGTCAGGGAGTACTGTGTGGCAGTAATTATTGTAGTATGATTATTGTAGTATGATTATAGTTACACCAGCACTGGCAGTGATAGTGAACACACTAATGAATCTGAAGTTCATGATATAGCAATAACTCAAAGAAAAGTACAATTTATTATTAGTTAAGGTTGTGGTTTAAATTTGAGAGGCAGCGCAGCACAAAGTACCGTGCATATGATGCAGTGAGTGTCATAGTACAGTGATGGTTTTATTTACAGGAAAAGGCGACATTAAGGGTGTGGGCCACTACCTGTCACTCCCGCCCGCCCACTGTTCTTTTCGCTATTGTTTATAAAACATTTAACAACTTTAGTTTCAGCATAGCCCCCCCACCCCCATATTGCCATGCTGGAGGGAAAACTTTACGAACTATATTAACAGATAATTTCAAATATTATTGAATGACATGGAAATCCGATAAAACAGATTGGTGAGAAAGACACGAGAAAATAGG